GTTATGAATTGGTACAGGCTGGCTCATCTCCAGACCCGGCCTGTGCTAGGCTGCTCCTTTCCTTGGGTCTTGCACTCACCTGTAAGGACTGCATCCTGACAAAGGAGTTTCCCAGCTCCTCTATCAGGTCTCCTCCCAGTGGCAGATCTTGCGCATACCAGTGGTTATGCTCAGGTTAATTTTGTCCACCTTATATCCAGGCAGGAGCAGTGTCCCTGCCCAACTGGGCCACACCCATTCTGATTCTTACTGTTGTTGCAGTCTAGCCACACATGGTTTGTGCCCAGACACAACTCACATGGTTTAGCAGGAGCCAAAACCCACCCCAGCCCATCCAACAATCACCCTGGCTCTCAAGAGTACCAATGGGTGCTAGAGTCTAGCCCAATGTGGTGCTTCCCATACCCAGTCTACACTCATGCCAAGGGATTTTGCAGCTGTATCGAGTCCAGCCTGCTGTCCCATTCCAGTTCTTGTGCTCACGAGTGGGAACCGCCCAACCTAGCCAGGGTGTCCCCTTAGCTTCCTAATCCGGCATGTCCCCAGCCACAGTTCTTACGTATGCCTATGGATGTAGATGAGTCACATAAATTTTGCCCTCAGATCTATTTCTCTCCCGTGGTGGTTAGTGTCATGGCCCAGCCTAACATTACCCATCCCCTGTTCCAACTCTCACTGGTGGGTACTGTGATCTAGCTCTGCCAGGTAGGCCCCCAGCCCTAGCTTTACTGTATGCCAGTGAACGTTCAGTGATAGTTGATGCTAACAACTCTAACTAAGGTCCCCCATGTGTGCTGGTACTTCGGTCTAACCCTTAAGGGTCCTCCCATTTCACCCTCCAAACTGCTCAGTCTCAATCCCCTCACTTACCTGCACATATAGCGGCCTTTTGTGTGGAAGTCCCTCAATAGTAACTCCTCACCTGGACATGACCCTCAGGTTCCCACTCTTGCACCTGTGCCATTCTCCCAGATCCCTTGGAAGCCCACACCCCTTCCCAAGTTCCCAGAGCAGGCAGTATGAGGGCTTCACCTGGCACCATTGGCACCCAAGACAGCCACCTGATGCGCGGGGAGCGGTCCCCTTCCAGGCCCTTGCGGGGGCCACCCAACACAGCCAATTGATGGCCAGGTAGAGATTTCCAAAGTGCATCATCCTTAAAGTGTGGATGATGGCAGCAGTGTAGATTAATGAGACCATTTCTCCATAAAGCATCTTTTTGCTCTCTGTCAATCAATCATGACAATTTCCAATTAAGGATTCAAAGAAGAAACACGGCAACTACAACTGCTGTTGTTGGGCCAGTTGTGGTTTCGCTGTTTCATTAAACTGGCACCTGCTGTGCAGATGCTGATTTGTGACACGGTCCACTTTGTGTTGTACAACTGGGGCTTTTGACTTCTGCCTAGGTCCAATCTCTTCTGTTGTGCACATTCTGGGTGAATGTAAGAAAGGTGAAAAACCCCAAGGGCCAATCTCATAAGTGACTGGTCACATTTCCAGGGAGTATAACTCAATCACCTTATCTGTAGACAGGATAACTATGCACACACAATTAAAAGCATTTTAACTGTGGCCTGGCTGAAGGCCATCAAGACCCTTAACTGCACATACTGCTAAAAACAGGAGTGACTGGCAAAGCCCAGACACACTCACTCAGGGATATGCACCGGGAAAGGAACTGAGTTCCCTTCTCTCTGCCCAGCAATACTGGCTTAATACCCTTGGAGGTCAGGAGTTTTGTAGGACGGCAGCAAGGGAAGGTGGAACAAAGATGTATGAGGCTGTTATCCCAACCTGAATGATTTCTTAGGCAGCCAGACTGCCACCCTAAGTGACAGTCGCCTAACCCTCCACAAATGCCATGCCCATCCCAGAGGAGCATGGTAACAATGGTGTCTATCCATGTCCCCAAGCTGTCAGAAATGGTCACTGGATTATCAGCAGTAATCAGACAGCTCTGAGAGAGTCGGGCGCGATATGTGGAACTCAAGTGCTACTTAGGGTATTGTACTGTTACTGCCTTTAAAGATGAGTCAGAGACCACCTATGAATGAGGATGAACCCAATGCCAAGTCATGCTTCTATATGGCCAATTAATAATCCTTTTCTTGGGAATAAGCCCCTTATAGGATGTGAAGAACCGCCACCCCGCCTCCAAATAACACTTCAATGCAAGCCAAACTAATTCTGCCAGCAATTTGGTGGGTCTGTCCAGGTAACTTACCTCTCATTAAAGGAATTATTTAGCCAGTGGCAACCAGAAGCTGACTGAGAGGTCAGTTGTTAGATGGACCACCCTGGTTATTATGATGCTCATTGTTTTAACTGCTCCCTATTCATTCTGTTGGTGAGAAAGGGATTCCCTATGGGGTTACAGAATAGTTGAACACATGACACATGATAATGGAAAGACTGACATGAATGTATTGTTTACAAATAACTAAAATACCAGGTAACTAGGTAAGGACACCATGTGCTATAACAAGGGTCCACAAGAATCTCACATAGTAGAGTAGGAAAAAGAAAAAGAGGGCTGGGAAGCTATAGGAAGCAACTCCATAGTACTAAACTGTGTACAATGGACTGTTTGGAGGGAGCAGACAAGAGCTGCTTTTCCAATAACCCATGGGCTGACAGACACGTGTAACTGACTCCTCAGAGAGTCTGGTTCAACTGAGACTGCCTGGTTCAACTGAGAAGGACAGCTGTGTGGCTAGGGACCTTATATGCAGGAGCAGATTGGGGAAGAAAACTTGTGACTAGGCGATTCTCAGTTTCATGTTAGGAGAACTTAATCTCAGCCAGTTAATATATTAAGATATATAAAAGCAATTTGTACTAATTGTGATGACATTTTCAGTGCTGAAACATGGTTGACCAAAAAAAAAAAAAATACTTTAGTACAGAAACAAGCTGTTGCAAATGGAAATGAAGACTGTAAGATAATTCTAAAAAGATGAGGTTTAGGAAAGTAAAAAGCTGTCCTTAGTAGTTGCCCGAAACCCTGCAATTCCTCCATGGAAAATTAGGTACTACATGGCATATTTCCTTTTTGTAAATTATGTAAGAAAGCCATCTCACACAAATATATCCATATGACTGTATGCAGACAGTGGGTTGCTTTATATTTTATTCATTTATTTAATACACTTTTTAAAGCAGAATATATAGTTACAAAAAGGCTCAGCAAAAAGTACAAAAAAAACTTCTCATATAACGTTTCATCTCTTCAGCTTTCTCTAACACCTTGCATCAATATGCTACACTTGGTAGGATAACATGTCATGACTGCCTAGACCCAATGGTTTCCATCAGTATTCACTCTACTTTGACAAACGTATGACACGCTACCACCATTCTATATACCCCAAAGACTCAACATCCTTAAGACCGCCCCCTGCACCAATTCATCCCATTTTACTTTTCAAAATGTCATTAAGTATAGGAGAGAATTCTTTTCAGAATGGTTTTCAGCTAATATGATCCATTTAGGATCCTTCATGACTTTTTGTGGCTGAACTGTTCGTTTACTGCCACCTCATGTCATATCCTATAATTTTATTACTAGCAGGTTTTGGTTGTCAGAATTTACTACACAGGAAACCTCGATATTTAGGAACAGAATTTTATTTCTTCTTTGCTAATGTATGTATTTTTCCTTTACCTGTCTTACAGCATTAGATGGGTTTTTCAAAAAGATTTTGCAAAACAGTAACTAGAGAAGGCAGCTTAGCTTGCTCCTGACCTTAGCAGGAAAAGCATCAAATGTTGGACCTCAAGTATAACTTTAGCTTGTAAGTTTTGTAGCAGTTCTTAATCAAGTGGAGAAAGATGTTGTGTGCCGAGTTTGTGAGGTTTTTATACTGAACATTAGCTCTTCATCAAATCCTTTTTCATCATCTATTGACATTACAGTATTTCATTTTTGACCTAATAGTGTTACACTGATTATCAAATGTTAAATAAACCTTCTGTGGTTTGAGTAAGTCCCACTTTCTCACTGTATATAATATTTTCATGCATTGTTAGACTTGTTTTGCTTCTATTTTATTGAGGATTTCTGCTTCTGTATCCAGAGGAGACACTGGTCTGTATTTTTTGTTTTAACCTGTAATGATGGTTTGGTTTTAGGGAAAAAAAAATGCTGGCTTCATGGACTCAGGAGTGTTCCCTTTGCTAGTTACTTTCTGAAAGATACCACAGAAAACAGGCATCACTTCTATCTGAAATGTTTAGTAAGAACTCGCCAATGTACACATTGGTCCTGGAATTTTGTTTGTTTTCTATGAGTTATACAATTTCTTCAATATATTTAAGATTTATAAATGGTGCTACTATCATCCTTAAAGGAACTTATTTTGGCTAAGCTACCAAATTTATGGACACAATTGTTTATAATATTTCACATTCCCTTAAATGTCCATGAGATCAACAGCAACAGATTTTCCTTACTTGTATGAACAATTGTTTTTTATTTGCCCAAGTAGAATTTAGCAATTTTGTTAACTTTCCAAATAATCAGCTTTGGGTTTTATTGATTTTGTTTGTTTCAGTAATTTTTCTTGTAACTTATTTTTCTGTTGACTTTGAAAATGGCCTGTTCTATCGCTTCTCGGCCTTTTGGCTAAGATCCAGTGAATATGGCTGTGCTTATTTTTGCAGTATCCAAAAACAAAACATTCCACAATCATTCCACCATCTAAAAATACTGGATCATATAATCTTATCAATATAATCCGATCGTGTATAAGGTCTATAGTCTTTAACCTGTCAACAGAAGTCCCATCCCAGCATGATTCTGGTTCTGTCCACACCTTCCCCTTCTTTCAACATCACAAAAACAACCAGAAAGCAGAGCAGCATCTGCTGTGCATTTGTGGACCTTTTCCCTGAATCTTGTCCCAGAGGGCAGCTGCTTACAAAGAGTACCCATCATGACCGGGCATGGACCTCATCTGAGGAGGAAAAAAAGACCACCAAGGATTAGGAATTTCTCCTCCTAATGCACAGAATATTTTATGGATAAATCAGATCCCATTAACCTTGGTTATTCCACCAGATTCAGGATAACAGAGAGAGTGTCATGATTAACACAAGGGGACTTCTCAAAGTTGAATCTTGATTCCAGAGCCAGCATTGTGGAGCAGCAGGTAACGCTGCAAGCTGCAATGCTGCCATCCCATATCACACCTATTTAAGTGTTAGTTGCTCCACTTTCAATCCAGCTCTCTGCTAATGTGTCCAAGAAACCAGTGGCAGAAGGTCCAAGTACTTGGGTGCCAAGTACCTAGGCAAGAGATTCTGAAGAAACTCCAGGGTCCGAGCTTTGGTCTGATCCAGCTCTAGCTGTTCTGGCCATTTGGGGAGTGAACCAGAGTATGGAATAACTTTGCCTCTTTCTCTCTATGTGTAAATCTTAAAGTAAGTAATTTTTTAAATAAATAAATCATCATTGCTGCATAACACAGATGTGCTATAGATTAAAGGCTTCCTTTTTCTGTAACCTTAATTGTGCTAATGGATACTAAAATTAGGAAGTGGCAACATCTAGTAATTGTAGTGAATAGTTAAAACAGTAAATTTTGAATTAAACTCTTATCTAGTTATCATCAATTTCTTAATATATGACGGTCATGTAAGAGTTTATCATCACAAATAACTTGATGACAGGCACATGAGGTCTCCACAGCCTTACTGCACCTTCTCGTGATTAAATAGTTTTAAGTTTCTAAAGCTTCATGGTTCCAAATGTACATGTATAATCTCCAATGATTTCAAAACAATCATATCATAAAACTTGTAATATTTTAGTACTTCTAAGAAAAATCTTCAATTTGTATCTCTTACAATTTCCCCTTTGTCCCCATATTACTACTGAAACTAATTTGCAGCTTTTGCTGAAACCCTTCACAAATGCCAGTAATCTCTAAGAGCCAATGCCAGTACTGGGATGTCACTTAACAACTGCAAATGAGTTAATCTCCTATCAATGTTGTTGAATAATGCCAGCCTTTAGATAAAAGTTTGTGAACATTCAAGATCATAATAGAACTTCTGTTAGTAGGTGAATACTATGTCATGAAGTGGAGGTTACACCATTTCTAACATCAATCTCACTCACAGGATTTTTCTCCTGCGTGTGTTCTCTGATGTACAATGAGATTTGATTTCTGAGAGAAAGTTTTTCTACATATGTCACACTCATAGGGCTTCTCCCCTGTATGTGATCTCCGATGTTTAGCAAGGTCTGACTTACGGTAAAAGACCTTCCCACATTCGTTACACTGACAAGATTTCTCTCCTGTGTGAGCCCTGTGATGCACTGTGAGGGATGATTTGTGACTAAATGATTTCCCACACACACCGCATTCATAGGGTTTCTCCCCTGTGTGTTTTCTCTGATGTAAAATAAGCCCTGACTTGACACAGAAAGATTTTCCACAGTCATTACATTTATAGGGTTTCTCTTGTGTGTGCGTTCTCTGATGTACAATTAGAGCTGACTTATGGCAAAAAGCTTTTCCACATTCATTACATTCATAAGGTTTTTCCTCTGTGTGAGTTCTCTGATGCTGAGTGAGCTGTGACTTCTGGCAAAAGGTTTTCCCACATTCACTGCATTCGTAGGGTTTCTCCCCTGTATGGGTTCTATTATGTTTAGTTAGGTATGATTTATTGTAAAAGATTTTTCCACATTCATGACATTCATAAGGTTTCTCTCCTGTATGTGTCCTATAATGTTGAGAGAGGGTTGACTTATGACTGAAGAATTTCCCACATTCAGGACATGCAAAGGGTTTCTCACCTGTGTGAATTCTCTGATGTACTGTCAAGTCTGACTTCAGGCAGAAGGTTTTCCCACATTCAAAACATTCATAAGGTTTCAATCCCGTATGAATTATTTGATGGCGAGTGAGTACTGACTTGTGGTAGAATGTTTTCCCACAAGCATCACATCCATAAGGTTTATCCCCTATGTGAGTTCTCTGATGCTGTGTAAGATGTGACTTTTGACAAAAGGATTTCCCACACTCTGGACATTCAAAAGGTTTCTCACCTGTGTGAGTTCTCTGATGTACCATAAGGTGTGAATTCATACAGAAGGATTTCCCACAATCATAGCATTCATAGGGCTTGAGTCCTGTGTGTGTTCTCTGATGTTTGGTAAGGTCCGACTTCTGATAAAACGTCTTCCCACATACATTACACTCATAGGGTTTCTCCCCAGTATGTGTTCTTTGGTGTAATGTGAGGGCTGACCTGTGGCCAAAGGCTTTCCCACATTCGTTGCACTTGAAAGGTTTCTCCCCTGTGTGTGATCTCACATGTTTAGTGAGGTTTGACTTCTCCCAGAAAGCTCTTCCACATTCAGTACACTGAAAAGGTTTCTCTCCTGTGTGCATTCTCTGATGTCGAGTAAGGTGGGACTTCTCCCAGAAAGCTTTCCCGCATTCGTTACACTCAAAGTGTTTCTCTCCTTTACGAAGTCTTCGAAGTTGTGAGAAAGACAACTTCTTCCTGAAAGTATTCCCACTTTCATTATATTCATAGTGTCTCATTTGTGTCCCTTGTTTCAATGGGTTAGACTTTGAACCTAAGGATTTCTGACAGTTTCTTAGTTCACAGTGATTTTCCTTTAAAGGGAGTACTTGATGCAGCAACACGCATGAATTATCACACGAAGTTTCCTGACATTGTTGTAATTCACAATCATTTTCTTCTGTAATCTCCCTCCTGTGTGTATTGGCTATTTCCTCTTCAAGGCAAGTTTCCTGAGGTATCCTGTGTTGAAAAGTTTGAATCTTCTCATGTTGAGCTGGGTCTTCATGATGGTTGTTAGTTTCCCCACTTTTGAAAGGCTCACTTTTCTGTTTAGCTTGGGTTTTTTCTTGCTCAATTTTGAGTAGACATTTTCCACGGGCATTAAGTTCCTCGGGCTTTTTTCCTAAATAGTTTTTCTTACTGATAACCAGTTCTGAACTGTTACTAAAATTCATTCCGCCTGAGTTATGTTCACAAAGTATTCTTTTAGAAGGAACATTATTCACACCCAAGTTCAATGGTTTTTCTGTTACACTACTTTGTTCCTTAGTCAATGTTTTGTTGCTGAGGATTGCACCTTCCCAAATATGTTTCAACTGGCTTTCCTGGCTTCCTCCATTTAGTTGATCAGCCTTCCAAATTTCTAGAAATAAGAAAAGTTAATTGCACCACAAATACTAATTCATTTCTTAGGAGAATGAGAATTTAAATACATGTACTACCTGGAGATACTGGCTTTTCATCAAATTTTCAGGAATGAAAATAATTCCAAATTTTATATACACACACACACATAGATACACATATACTTAATACAGAATTTCATGGGTTTGAGATGAAAACACAAAAACTAGAAATAAAGACCTGGTACAGATGAAACAGGGAGAGGAATGTGGATGTTAAAAGATACATATTTGATTCCCAATTTATAAATGTTATGAGTAATAGTAAATACTAAAATCTAAATTACTCTATGTATCCTCCAAAGTAAGACTATAAGAATCAATATGATGAGAGCAAATAAAATCACTTTCTAAAAATCTGCAGTCTTATTATGACTAGCAGACAGATTCCCACTTGCTTGAAATTTCCAACTAAGTACAGAAATACTCATGTATAGAAGATAGAGTGCCCATATCTTTGAAGAAAGCAAGTTGGAGACTGTAAGAATCATAAGAAAAACAGGAAATACACCTTACACTGATGCAACACAAGCAAGTCTACTCCTATAAAGACAAAGCTGCATTGACTGGGAAAGTACTAAGATGTGTGAGTCCAGAAAGAGCAAACGGCAGTGCCTTGGGAATATGGGACATGGCAAAAGCTGATCAACATCACTGACAAAATTTTGAAAATAAGTGATCTTAGAAAATAGTACTTAAGTTACAAGAAAACCATTATAGACAAAATTGTATCCATATCCAACTCATATGTTGTAACTCTAACATCCAATGTGACTGTATCCAATTGGTTATGGTCTTTAGGGGAGTAATCAGGGTTAGAGAATAGAATGCTGAGAAGACTAACAGCATTAGGAGATAAAGATTCTAGAGTGTATGGTTGACTTCTCTCTCTTTATCTGACACAAGAATGTATCTTCTTTTTTTTTTAAGATTTATTTTTCATTTTTATTGGAAAGGCGGATATACAAGAGAGGAGAGACAGAGAGGAAGATCTTCCGTCTGATGATTCACTCCCCAAGTGAGCACAACGGTCGATACTATGCCGATCAGAAGCCAGGAGACTCTTCCGGGTCTCCCACGCGGGTGCAGGGTCCCAAAGCTTTGGGCCGTCCTCGACTGCTTTCCCAGGCCACAGGCAGGGAGCTGGAAGGGAAGTGGGGCCACCCATATGGGATCCCGGGCGTGCAAGGCGAGGACCTTTAACCACTGCGCCACCGCGCCGGGCCCAAGAATGTATCTTCTTTAAGACAGAGAGGCCCCACCAGAAAGCAACAGTGCTAGCATGTTAATCTTGGAGTCTAAACTTACAGATTTGTAAGAAAATAAATGTATGTTGCTAAGGCAACCCAGTCCTAATATTATATTTTTATCCCAAGTTTAATTAAAAAAAAAAAACAGCTGAAAGGGAAACCAGACTTGACTAAAATTTTAATAAACATCATTGAATTAGGACATGACAAACGATAAGAAGGCACTATAAATAAGAAAATTGTGCCTTGATTTAACTTGTAATTTTTGTTTGGTTGTTGGTTATTTTTTGAACCTGTCATTGATACTGTCTCAACCCAGATGTTTCAAAGAATGGAACTTGCATTATTTTTCACATATTGTGTACCCAATACTATGTCAATTAATTCCATAATATTGTATATTGATACTGAGGTTTTGTTGGGGCTCTTAACTGACCGGATCTTTACTCTGTTAGCCCTATCTTCAGACCAGAGAAGGTCTCCCCAAGAGGCCACTGAACTTATCTGGACAATAAGACGCTGGACTTTATGCTAGGTATGTGTTTGCAAGGAACGAATCTCAACTGAACTTGAACTGTGGTTATGCAACAAGGTGGAGGAATCCACCATGGGGGGAGGGGTATGGGAGGGGTGGGGGGAATCCCCAGTGCCTATAAAACTGTACCACATAATACAATGTAAACAACAATAAAAAAAAAAAAGAATTGTGCAAAAGAGTTCTTATAATTCCAATTAAATAAAATTAGCATATTTGTGGGCTCCCGCCGCCTTCATGGGGCGGTGAATGGGATTTGGGAGGGGCGCGACCTTGGGCCTGGGTTATTTAAACCTCCAGCTGCCAGGAGGCTGCTGGTGGGTCTCAGGACGGGGCGTCTCATGCCTGGATCCCGGACGGCCGCCATGGGCACATGGTGAGCCGTCCTCCCCGGGCCTGCTGGGTTTCGGGGGCCGCTTCCTTCAGGGTGAGTAGACCGAGGGGGGGAGGCCTCTGGGACTGGGCAGGTCCGGGGCCCACCCGCCGCCTTCATGGGGCGGTGAATGGGATTTGGGAGGGGCGCGACCTTGGGCCTGGGTTATTTAAACCTCCAGCTGCCAGGAGGCTGCTGGTGGGTCTCAGGACGGGGCGTCTCATGCCTGGATCCCGGACGGCCGCCATGGGCACATGGTGAGCCGTCCTCCCCGGGCCTGCTGGGTTTCGGGGGCCGCTTCCTTCGGGGTGAGTAGACCGAGGGGGGGAGGCCTCTGGGACTGGGCAGGTCCGGGGCCCACCCGCCGCCTTCATGGGGCGGTGAATGGGATTTGGGAGGGGCGCGACCTTGGGCCTGGGTTATTTAAACCTCCAGCTGCCAGGAGGCTGCTGGTGGGTCTCAGGACGGGGCGTCTCATGCCTGGATCCCGGACGGCCGCCATGGGCACATGGTGAGCCGTCCTCCCCAGGCCTGCTGGGTTTCGGGGGCCGCTTACGTCGGAGTGAGTAGACCGAGGGGGGGAGGCCTCTGGGACTGGGCAGGTCCGGGGCCCACCCGCCGCCTTCATGGGGCGGTGAATGGGATTTGGGAGGGGCGCGACCTTGGGCCTGGGTTATTTAAACCTCCAGCTGCCAGGAGGCTGCTGGTGGGTCTCAGGACGGGGCGTCTCATGCCTGGATCCCGGACGGCCGCCATGGGCACATGGTGAGCCGTCCTCCCCAGGCCTGCTGGGTTTCGGGGGCCGCTTCCTTCGGGGTGAGTAGACTGAGGGGGGGAGGTCTCTGGGACTGGGCAGGTCCGGGACCACCCGCCGCCTTCATGGGGCGGTGAATGGGATTTGGGAGGGGCGCGACCTTGGGCCTGGGTTATTTAAACCTCCAGCTGCCAGGAGGCTGCTGGTGGGTCTCAGGACGGGGCGTCTCATGCCTGGATCCCGGACGGCCGCCATGGGCACATGGTGAGCCGTCCTCCCCGGGCCTGCTGGGTTTCGGGGGCCGCTTCCTTCAGGGTGAGTAGACCGAGGGGGGGAGGCCTCTGGGACTGGGCAGGTCCGGGGCCCACCCGCCGCCTTCATGGGGCGGTGAATGGGATTTGGGAGGGGCGCGACCTTGGGCCTGGGTTATTTAAACCTCCAGCTGCCAGGAGGCTGCTGGTGGGTCTCAGGACGGGGCGTCTCATGCCTGGATCCCGGACGGCCGCCATGGGCACATGGTGAGCCGTCCTCCCCGGGCCTGCTGGGTTTCGGGGGCCGCTTCCTTCAGGGTGAGTAGACTGAGGGGGGAGGCCTCTGGGACTGGGCAGGTCCGGGGCCCACCCGCCGCCTTCATGGGGCGGTGAATGGGATTTGGGAGGGGCGCGACCTTGGGCCTGGGTTATTTAAACCTCCAGCTGCCAGGAGGCTGCTGGTGGGTCTCAGGACGGGGCGTCTCATGCCTGGATCCCGGACGGCCGCCATGGGCACATGGTGAGCCGTCCTCCCCGGGCCTGCTGGGTTTCGGGGGCCGCTTCCTTCGGGGTGAGTAGACTGAGGGGGGGAGGCCTCTGGGACTGGGCAGGTCCGGGGCCCACCCGCCGCCTTCATGGGGCGGTGAATGGGATTTGGGAGGGGCGCGACCTTGGGCCTGGGTTATTTAAACCTCCAGCTGCCAGGAGGCTGCTGGTGGGTCTCAGGACGGGGCGTCTCATGCCTGGATCCCGGACGGCCGCCATGGGCACATGGTGAGCCGTCCTCCCCGGGCCTGCTGGGTTTCGGGGGCCGCTTCCTTCGGGGTGAGTAGACCGAGGGGGGGAGGCCTCTGGGACTGGGCAGGTCCGGGGCCCACCCGCCGCCTTCATGGGGCGGTGAATGGGATTTGGGAGGGGCGCGACCTTGGGCCTGGGTTATTTAAACCTCCAGCTGCCAGGAGGCTGCTGGTGGGTCTCAGGACGGGGCGTCTCATGCCTGGATCCCGGACGGCCGCCATGGGCACATGGTGAGCCGTCCTCCCCAGGCCTGCTGGGTTTCGGGGGCCGCTTCCTTCGGGGTGAGTAGACTGAGGGGGGGAGGCCTCTGGGACTGGGCAGGTCCGGGGCCCACCCGCCGCCTTCATGGGGCGGTGAATGGGATTTGGGAGGGGCGCGACCTTGGGCCTGGGTTATTTAAACCTCCAGCTGCCAGGAGGCTGCTGGTGGGTCTCAGGACGGGGCATCTCATGCCTGGATCCCGGACGGCCGCCATGGGCACATGGTGAGCCGTCCTCCCCGGGCGGCCAGTGCGCCATTGGTGCCAGGCTGTGCCTGCTGGCCGCCCGGCCCGGGAGCTCTGGGGATTTGGTTTTTTGAGTTGCTGCTTAATTAGCTCCAGGTTGAACCCATTGTGCTTCTTGGACCTGAAACAGGCAGTAACTCTTCCTTAGCAAAACTTGTAATCACTAATAATGCTGAGCACCAAATACCAGTCATGCAGAAGCTATGGCTTGGGGCTTGTCCTGCACAAGTAGCTCCAACCCCTGGCCAATGTGTCAACTGGTAATGGAACAGAGTAGATTAGGCACGACTGAGCAAACCTTAGCCCACAAGTAAAACTAGAAACCAGGAGGGAGCAGAGGTCATGCTGAGCTAGGCTCTTGTACCTGCTGGTTTGTGGGAGCCTGGGACGCTAAGCCACAGTGTCTAAGGCAGAGTTCGGGACAGGGGAGGGGCTGTGCCAAGCTGAGTCAGAGCATCCATTGGCAGGCATGTGATCTATGGCTGGGAACAGAC